CCCCAAAACCCCAAAACCCCAAAACCCCAGGAGTTAAAATTTTATCAAGATTTACTCATAAATTTAATTAATTTTTGTACGATATTAAAACTATTAGCTGAAAATTGCAAAAAAATCTTATAAATAATCAAGCTATTTATTACTGTTTGATAAGGAGCTCATTTAGCTGTTAAGAGTGAAGTGGTTGAAGCAGCATATTATGCTAATTTACAGAAAAATGCCTCCTTCTATTTTGTCGCTTTCGATTGATATTATATAGAATTTAGCTCTGATTAAGTTCTTTCTAGTGATCTATTTAATTGCTATGATAAGATGAAATTCGAGATCTCTGTAAATTATTCCCATAACTGATATTGTTAAAAGTCATCTCATCATGGCTTGCTCTGTATTCCTATTGTATTTTCATACTTTAGTCAATGATACTTAAGTTTTCATTTTCATTATTGACTGCAAGATTTCTAAATAGCTTAACCTTGTCCATATTTACCAAAAGTATTGAAACATCTTTCCTCATTAGAGATTAATCCAGCATTTGCTTGGCTGGATTTGAAATATCATACTTAAATTGCAATAAATCCTTTTCTTTGTTAATCTAATGATCGATAATTTTTCTAATTTTTTCTTGTTTCAATCTGAATTCATCCAGGATAACTTCATAATCATGAGGCTTTTCTGGAATGAGATTTTGCAGCAGCTCATAACTATTGATAGCGTTTTAATACTTTGTACTCTAATCTGAAGCTAGTCTTCTATGATAGCCACCTTTATCAAGCTTAGTTTTGCTACAATTGAGAGATTTATTTTCAAGCTGGCTCAGTTTATTTAAAAACTTTCTAAGTTTCTGGTTGTTATGCAATGTTTATGTTGAATTTCCGAACCCATTCCTGAGAATTTCAAAATTATCGAGAGCTTAACTTGCTATCTAATGATCATTATAGTTTTAGTATCTTTTTGTCTAATTTTAGGCAATATTAATATCTTAAATCTACATATTTTGGTTCTTCTTGTTAAATGAAAAGAATTAGTTTTCTTAATCTTCATTAGGACTTGAGAGGAACTTTATTTGAGATTCTAGGTTCCTTGTTTATCCATTAATTCGAGCAGATTTTTTATTTGACTCTGTTAGGAACTCATCAAATGTTTATGGTGACTAGAATAAGTTCATATTATGATCTGTCTCAATTATGCTGCCTTCCCTTTCAAGTGTTATTGGCTTAGATGTCTCAAAACCCTCACAAAATGTAGTCAGATCAGATCTTCCAAGCTAACTTAAAAGGAGAGAATTCTAATCTTTACTGATGTATTGTAACTTTCTTTGCTGTTTTTGCTTATTTTAAGTTTTGAGTAAAGATTAAGGCATTTAACTAAGATCACTTTTAATTAATTGCTGTGATTCATTGTCAAACAATTACTTTTCTAGCATTTAATCTATATTCAGACCATTTGCTGAAATTTCTATGTCTTTTTTGCTAACTTTTCTATTTTACTTTGAGTTTTTACTTGTTTACTGTCTTGTATTAAATATCTAATTTATGTCACTTTGAGATTAAGATTTTTAATTGTTTAATTAAGGTTTTTAAAATTCTTTTGAAAATCTAGTCTAGTTCTATGTTTGATTGTAATTATAACCTGGATTTATTACTTTTTAGACAATATCTATATGTAACTTATTGAAATCCTTTTTATTTTCTAGCGCAGGCAGTACATCATTTAAAATTGAGTTATTCACACTGATTTTACTTTCTCGAATAAGTTTCTTATGAATGGATTTTAGTTTACTTATGATCAAGCTACTTTTCCTTCTGTTAATTGGATAAGGACTTAGTTTTTATCTTTCAGGTGATAATACGCTATCTGAATTTTTATCGAATTTTATTTGCGAACTTAGCTTTTTTAATTATTGTGTCTAGATGACTTCAAGTTAGTTTGGTCTCTCTCGTAAAACACTTTAATGTTTCTATCTATTAACTGTTTCACTTAACTTAGATATTGCTGCATTAACTTAAGGAAGTCTCAGTTTTCTGATAACCTCATGATCGCCTCCTTTGTATTTACCCCCACTAATGTGTAAATCATTCTCATCAATTTACTTTCTTTTGATAAGTGAATCTTCCCTGAGTAAGTAAACTAAAGTTAAAATTACAATAATCAGTGCAGTTAGTTAATATTCATAATTTTAATCTATGTTTTCTAGTTAAAAATAGTATTTCCTCTTCTGTAAGAGTTCTTCGGCTCAGATAGTATGTTACCCTTGGAATCCTAAAATTACTCCATTAATTTTTAATATTAGAATGAGGTTTATTTTTTCAAAGAATTTTACTTAAATTAGCTAAATTATTATAAAACCAGCTTCACGGGGTTTTGGGGTTTTGGGGTTTTGGGGTAACATAC